GCTATATAAACGAAGTGATGTACAACTGTTCTTGACTTCTCTTTGGTCATTAATAAACCTTGCGCACCTTTGGTGGTTGTTTTCACATGAAGGCTAGCTTGGGAAGCTCAGATCGAAAATTAAGCTGAGGAGAATACCGTTGCTACACGGAATCAGCTATAACTATGAACAAGTGAGTTTTGATAGATCTTTCCACTAGAAATTTCACTTGAAACAAGAAACATACACTTACTGGGTCAGTCTACTGACTAAGTTGATCCTAACGGTTGACATCGCCAGCAATTAAAACTCATTTTGAAGTCAATTTCGTCATATATAATCCAAAGTAAAGACGGTAGCACCTTCCTCAAGGTTTTCAACTGAATTGGCAAGACCGGTGAACAACCAAAAGGCCAAAACTGAGTTATTTGTAGTAGTTTACCTTGTATTTTGACTCCCCCTCCCAAAGAAGACCATCCCAACTCAGACTTCTTGAACCGCTTCTCACGCTTAGTATTTGTTCGCGTGGATCATAACCTACTGTGCGGTGGGATCGTTTTAAACACCCAAAATCGTTTAAACCTATACCTTCTTAGCTTACGCAATATCCAGGTAGCATCATGTCAACGTTTCAGTCACGTGACCATCATTCAAATTAGTCCAATCGAAGCGGAGTTTTAGCGGGAAACCCCGGGCCGTGGTATAATTTTATTGAGATGCAAATATGGAGCTTGGTAAGATTTGTCAGAAATTTGCATAAGATCTGACCTTGAGATCGTCAGACGGCCGATTAAGTAAGTAGTGCATTTCGATCGTCAATCGGCTCAGTCTATTGGTTTCCCAATATCGTATATCAATCGTCCTGTTCGCCCCTATTTTGTTCTCTATCCATTCTGTCTGGTTCATAGGGAAGACAAGCAATGGAAGTACACGTTTACCCTGTCTGTGTTCACCGTCGTGACATCAGTACTGCCCTAGAGTGACGGACTGACTGACTGGCTGACCGACTGACTTGAAGTTGAACGGCATGCACTGATCGGTGGGTAGAAAGGAATGACGTAATTTATGGCGCAGACTTTTTCGTCACTCCAATTGAGGTTGTGCCGACTTATCCTTGAATGCAGACACCTGAGTCGAGCAAAGAAAACCCGCTCTACTCTGAATTCCACTTTCCATAGAGCTTTATTAGAGGTGTGATACACGTGAATACAAAGCAATGAAATTTCAAATACGCACTTTGCCCCAAATCATTTCATGTGCATGTCTGGAAATGGTTGGCTCCCGGTTCCACGTACCACTCCTTTCAGTGACAGGTATGTCACCCATGCGGCGGTTTCCGGAAAAAAAGGCGATGATTAGTTAAGACAGATATAAATCCATTGTCGTCCAAGTATAGACGTAATACACTACTCATAAGGTCGCTGAAAATTCTTCGACAGCCCACGACCGGTTTCGTTCTTCTTGGGGCTCATCAGGTAGCCTGTCGTTCAGTTCTACTTTGGATGGCTTACTACCGTCCTCATCGGGTAGATCTATTTCTCGATTTTGCATCAAGCTCACGCATAAACAGTCAGCCTCAGCTGAGTCTACCATGATAGGCTAGTCTCTCACGTCATCCGCGGAAAATTCACCGTGAGACAATCCATCATGTGCCACGTGACCAGTGCACGACTGAGTTAGTCATAGCAGAATCCGTGAAGCACGTGATGTCACAGTGAATAGCTAATTACTGTTGTGGGGTTTGTGGGAGTTCGACTGTTCGAACACACCAATCACACCACTCAAATGTGCACACGTTCGCCTGGTCAGACGTAAAAATTCAGATGCGTCCGACGTGCGTCGGTGGAATAGTGGTAACACGCTCGCCTTGTATGTCAGGTGTCCGGGGTTCGAACCCCGGCACAGCCATTGGATATGCACTGCTGAGGAGCTCTAATAAGAGCGAAACTCGAGTCCAGTGCTTCACACAAAACTAAGTTTGCCAGGACAGGAGGATGGCTGTTCAAATGAGAGTAATGTGGAAAGACAACTCTACGAGTGTGGTGAGGCTCCTCAAGAGCCACTCTGACGAGAATGGCTTTGTGTAATCGTGTTTGTATTCCTCAAGCTATGAGGGAACATCTTCCATGGTAACGCCGGGATTTCACCCGCAGCGGCAATATTCTGAATACTTCCTCAGTTTGCGAAAGATTGCTTCATTCTCTTAAAGGATGCACCTTATTGATTGTTCTTGTCTCTCATTTGCACCGTTTTTCTCTTCTCCACTCTATATTAGGCTCCAGTGTGTTGACCTAATCTCAACTGATGACAAAAAGTACCACCGGGAATTTACCTACTGAATTTGAATCGAGCTTCAATCGTCTAATCCAGGCAATAGCTGTCCTTATTAGGACCAATCAACAGATAGATAACCGAGCAACAAGGACAGTGCAATGTGCCCCAGGAACAATTTACTCCTTGTGACCCATGTCAAACCAGATATTTTGGTGCACCGAAAGGCTGGTATCGATCATTATCGACTATTTTACAAAAAGATGTTTGGTGCAATGGTCGTTCCATGAGGAGCACTGAGGTCATGCTTATGCCAGGTTTTCTCTTGGGGGTCGGGATTGACCAGTATGCAGAGTAGCTGGCTTTCAACCATGAGGTTGAGCGGTTTTAGGCACTTACGTGCGTATGTCCTGCTTACGGAGACCGATTATGACAGATATTTGGTTTTGACAGTCAGCCAACTGCACACAATTCAAAAGCTAGCTCCAAAAGGCGACCTGCAATAGCAAGTCAGGAGTTCATTCTAGTACAGTCCTCATCAGAGGAGTAGTCTCCATCATGAGGACTCCTTCGGCAGTGACGAAACTGATAAACGTTATGCTGACTGGAAGGAAAAGATGGGACGAGTATTCGAATGCACTTGTTTGGCATGTCGTGCCCTTAGTTAACCCATCTTCGAGTCTGTCAACCCTACGGTTACCATGCCCATTTTCCAGTCCTTTTTTCAAGGTAGTCTCATCTTGGACCACAACACAAAGCGCTGTTGAAAACTCTTCGACAACCTGCAAACGGTTTCGCCCTTCTTCGGGCTCACCAAGCAGACGCAGTTCCTGAGTTACCAACGAACCATATGTCCTAAGTGAACCAGTTTTGTATGCGATACGCGGAATGCCTTCATTTGCAGTCTAACTTGGTTTTAACCGGAGACTCACCTAAATCACAGCTGATATTCTTCAGACGAATGTGCTGCACAGAGATCAAATCAGTGAGCGATTGAGTGCATTTCGCCAGCTACGCAAAACTTGTGTTCAATGAGAACGTTAGTGTTGACGTAAACCGGGGGGACTGCACCTAACTGACGAGCCCCAAGTAGGACGAAACCGGTTGTGGGGTGTCAAAGGATCTTCAGCAAATTGATGACAACGAGAACGTCGGTGACATCGGTTGGCAGCCATATCTTGTAGTGTCACCAACCAGGCACAGTGAGGATCACGCGGTCCCCATCCTGGAAGGCGAGTAGCACCGACAGCACCCAAGCGTTTCGTGATCTCCTTCATACTCCTCTGCCAAGTCAAGGGGTGACCACCTCTCTGTTTACGCCACTCTGAATGGGGCATGGAAAACAGCACTCTCTTCGGCAAACGATGGTTCGGCATTACGGATTCGCCGACACCAACCCACACGAGCTATGGTTCTGAGACAACGATTGTCGAACACCTGAAGACGTCTCAGTTCCGCTGCTCGAATAGGCCAAGTCTCACAGCCATACAACAAGACAGCCAGTACTGTAGCTTGATACACAAGTCCTTTCAGATTCAGGGATGAACCATTCTGACACCATAGGTGTCTCAAGTTAGCAAACGCGGCCCGACCCTTGCAGATTCGTGAATTCACCTCATCTGTCACACTACAACCAGAACTAATAGAACTTCCAAGATAAGTAAAACGCTCCACAACTTCCAGTACATCTCCCTGGATTGTAAGGGGCGTGTTCAGTGACTGTACGTCCACAAGCATGACCTTACACTTTGTAGGTGCAAAGTGCATACCAAAGGACGGGATGACTTCGGTCAGTTCATCCAAGAATACTTGCGCCTTCTCCTCCTCTTCGAACATGAGAACGATGTCGTCCACATATTCCAGATCGACAAGGTTTTCTTCACAGGCTATTTGAACACCAGGGTTTTGGAGACCCTCCAGCGTTCGTCTCATTATTTCATCGATCACAAAGTTAAAAAGGAATGGGGAGAGTGGGCATCCCTGACGGGCACCGCTTTGTGTACGGAAGCTTTTGGGGAGCTTTCCGTACACTCTCACAATTCAGGAAGTCTGCCAATACGAGGAACGTATCATGGCAGATTATCTCTACTGAATCAGTTGGAAATCCGGTCAGATGTGTGGATCCAATCTACATGAAAGTGGCTCATCGATCACAGGTTAGTGAAATGATGGGCGTCTATCTTGTTGAATGTTTACCTTACGCCCGGGAGCTTTTCGTGCGGAATAATTCCGCAACATTCCAATGCGTGCGACAGCGTGGATCGAAGAGACAGACCCAGTTTGGTCACATAGGAGCTGTTTTAAAACAGTTTGCGATAGTTCCACTTAAAGCACCATGTTGGCACATACTGTCACTCGGAATAATCTTATCAATGTTGATTTAAGGTCCTGATACAGTTGTTTTTCACACGATACTACTCATGTGGTCGATGAAAACTGTGGACAAGCCACTACCGTTTTCGCACATATTGGGGTTCAACAGGTAGTTCTGTTACACGAGAAAGGTGTGAGCCTTGGGAGAGAAGGAAGGAAAGCCTGAAGGAAACCCTTTCGGTATCCTGGACATGCTTTCCAATCGAGACGCGAAGCGGCCCGTGTACAGTAAATTCGTTTTTATAAAAATGATGTAGATGAGAGATTTCGTTACTCGCATTCAATAAAGTCTCTGCAATGAAACGTAGAATGCTTACCATTCCCTTTGATTCTTTGATTCCACACACACACACACACACACATACACACACACACACGAGATACACATCGATTAGATGAACTAGTCAAAAACCAAAGCTAGTGCGCCATTATTTCTCCTCGGAATTTTTCTAAATTTTCGTGGTATGTGTAACCCAGACGGATCCACGGTTTAAGCTCCAATGAGAAAGTTTGATGAACTGTCCGCTGACCGCCTTTTTCATCCATTCATAAGTTGATTTCGAGCCCCAGAAACCACTGGAATGCATAAGTTTCTCTCGATAAAAACCTTTGGCAGAAATCCCTCTGGTTCTTTCGCTTAGACTGTTCTTCAACTGAATGTTTTGAACCGTAACCAGGTGTGTTTCGTTCATGTCCGCCGTCAAGGTCAACTCACTTTGCAAGTGAATGTCTGTCGCCAAACGGGTGCAATTTGCTATTTAAGTAGACTGACGGACGTTCATGGACTAGGCCTACCCAAATAGTCTAAGAATGGATAATGGATCGATCTTAAGAGTACTATTGGTAATCGATATACTCTTTTGAGTGCCGTTCACTGCCTTCATTATTCTCTCGTGGGGTGCTCCGTTACAAGGTCTTCAAGTAAATTGTTCGTTGAACCAAGCTTCGCTTTCGTGCTTCATCTACACAAGCCTAGGTGACAGCGCTGAAGTTGCGCAGACATTTCCATGGTGGGAACTAAGCGGAAGATATCTTCAGAGCAAGACACTCGCGACGCCAGTTGCTTTTGTCCGGAGCACGGTGGATTGATCCGGATTGGCTCACGATGGACTGTCGGCTCGCAATAAACTGCCTCACGATAGGGTGACCGCCACGGATTGGTCAGTTACCGTTTACCATACTATCATGTGACCTCAAATGGGATGAAGGTCATTTACGCGAGTTAACAGAGCTTTAGGCTCAATCACACGATCAATCAATCACACACAATCAGACGACAATCCATCTGACAACCGTTTTGCAAACCTCTGTTCGGGACAAATGTTACCTTGATTACGGGACGCTTTGAATGAGGTTACTGCGTGAAACGATCACTTTTTAAACACCACATCATGACGTAAGCACGAACGGAAAGGACTTGATATTCCTAACACACACACACACACACACACAAACCAGGTTTGATGAATGAACCCGATTAAACATGAACTTTGCAACTTGATAACACCTGAAAACAACTCCTACAGACCAACCACTGCGGTTGGCAAAAGCTAGGACGTAACGACCAGTTTGGATTATTCCAGATCTTGAGAGAGAAAAAAAGAGCGGAATACAAAAAAAATGGAAGAACGGAAACCTTCTCTCCAATTCAATCCACACTCATTGTTTCGGAAGGCTGAATTGATTGATTAGCATTTGTTGCATGTAATCGACCGCGGCAATTATGCACCGAAAACCCTTTAGGAAACATTGGGTTTTCTAGATTTATGCTAATACCACCCACCGTTTGTGTCTCGACCCGGTTCTATGAACAGAACCGAACTAAAATTCAAACATTTGTTCAGACCGCGTTGTGCGAAACGATCAAATCGCTCAATCTAACCCGTTTGTAACAAGCGAAAACTGTATAATTAATTGGTAACCACGAGATTGTGACTTTGATGAAAGTCTGGTGTGTATAGGTATGCAGACATGGGTGCGAAATACGTATAAGGCCAAGCCGATTATTGGGGTTCACCTCATGTGAACTATCATCAAGTTAGCTGGCGGGGGGAGGGTTGTTGCATAATCGGTTTGTGTTTTCATTCGCTGAGAGTTGTTCGTTTGATTGGTGCCACCATCACGATGAAAAGGACCGTTTGATTTCTCGTGGACGGTGGTCCGCCTGTTTCTGTTACGTACGAGGAACGCAAGAATAGACAGCCCATCGACGAGTTATGCAAGAACGAACCAGACAACGTCTGGCCTGAAAGTAAATCTTGAGTAGAACTAAACAGTGCGTTGGATCAATCGATGACCATAATCCTCTTCGCACGATATGTGGGACCGAAAGTACAAGCAAGATAACATGTATATCCTTGTAATGTACTACTCATAAGGTTGCAGTAAATCTGTCGACAGCCCACGACCGGTTTCTCCCTTTTTGCGGCTCATTAGAAGCCTGGAAACATCAAAACCGAGAGATTCAGCTGGCTGCAAACCAAATTAGTTTGCAAATGAGTGCATATTCGCTAAGTAAGATAACGCTTACGTTATTCTCGTGTGAACGGTCCTCCCACTGTCATGATGCATTTATACTGGGCCAAGTCACAACCTGAACTCTGGGCATATGAGGTGCGAGCAGGGCATGCTAAACGCACCTGAATTATCATGTCTGAGAAAGAGGAAGACTTTTGGGAGAGGCTAGCCTGAATCTCTCGTTAAGTAACTGAATGTGCTGACCCAGGTCGCCTCATGTTCCGGTTGGTATGACTGATATTCAAGATATCGCGATACATGTATGCGTAATACACTACTCATAAGATTGCTGAAAACACTTCGAAAGCCAACTACCGGTTTCGCCCCTTTTTGGGCTCATTAGGTAGGCGCAGCCCCCAAGTTTCCACCGTAAACCCTATGTTCTACTTGAACCCAAATTGGAATGGCTTCGACAAATACACTCATTTGCAAATCAACTTGTCTGGTGTTTTCAACTGAATATACTGCTTAAAGATCCCGTTCTGTTTCAGTCGGTTCGATATTCTACATATCGCGGTATATTTTCATAAGGGAAACTACTCACAAGCTTCCTGAACTCTGTATGATAGCCCACGACAAGTTTCGCCTTTCTTGAGGCTCATCAGGTAGAGTTTTAAGCAGCTTTGTGAGTAGTTTCATCAAAGAAAAATCCCAGTTTCTTGTAAGAAAAAATGCCATTTTTACAAGTTGCTCCGTGAAAATCCTATTGATTTGTCCCTCCTTCTTTGGGGAATTTCGCTTGTTTTCCCAAGCGAAAATCCCTGGTCCTTTCGATGAACATAGTAGCGCTTTTTGCCGACATCTGTTTCATCCCCTTGGTTGTTTCTCCCTAAACTTTGTGGCTTGATAGGCGTCCACACAAGCACCTCATCATGTAAAGTGTCCGTCAGTTGTTCGAAGGAACCATTCAATGTGGTAGCAAATGAATACGGAGCCTTACGGGAATGTAGGATTTTTCTCCTGGACAGGTAAAGGAAGAAGTAATTACTTAGAGTGAGCCACTTTTTCCTGGTTCGATGAAGCTTCTGTTGGCGATTACTACTCCCTCTCTGGAGAGATAGCATTTTAATCGATTGCTCCTGGCTGAGGGCATTTTAAAAGTGAGTTCCCACCTTCACGAGTTGAAAATCAATAGCCGAATTTCAAATCACTCGTGGATGGACGGCTAGTCTATGCAAAAAGCGAACAAATCAGTAAATACTACTGGAAGTGGTGAGTTTTAAAACAGATGAAAAACTCTTCGAATTACGTGGAGATTCTGGAACTGGCCTCGATTCATTCCAGACAGCGCGAGCTATCACGGTTGGATTGGTCGACGTTTCACACATTGTCGTGAGTCTCAATCACTGGTGTAGAAGGTCTCAATTTCCTAGTCTACAGTCTACTTAAAGGTCTTTCTTGAAGTTAAAATCACTTGCCGAGGCGCAACTACTCTTGGACGGTTTCCAGCAAAAGCCTTTCTCGCTAGAAGTATTCGACTTTTCGCCTGAGCAACATATTTTGTTTGTCGGGTCTCATATACTTGTCCCGTACTCTGGAAAAGGTAGCGCCAACTACACTGGTTACTTCTGAAACGAGGAACGGAGCTGCGATCCGCTTTCTCCCCAGGATTAGTTGACTACCCCTCTTTTCTTGTATTATTGAGGAAAATTCATAAAACCCATTTCAACTTGCGACAAACGCACTCATTTGCGAATCAATTTGGTGTTCACGGGAGATTCAAGCGAATTCCTCGTTTATGATATTCTACAACTGAATGTGCTGCACACAGGCCACCTCATGTCTCAGTTGGCGCGATATTCGCGATATCGCAGTACATTTTCATAAAGGAAACTACTCACAAGGTTGCTGAATACTCTTCGACAGCCCACGATCGGTTTCGCCCTTC